CTCATAAGAGTATGCTATTATAAGCGAAGCTGAACATGCTTTTCAAAAGCAAGTAAACAGGCTTCGTTCATATATAAATGAATGATGTTGTATGCGTGGAAATACAGTACTTCGTTTTAAAAGAAAGATTTAGTCAGAGAGGACGTTCTTTGATGTTTCGCAGAAAATTTCATCAAACCTCGGATAATGCATATCGAACTTTCTTCACAAAAATTGAAAGATCTATGTGGTCCAGCAATAAAACATAAACATGAAGCTGACATTTCTCTACCTCGTGAAATGAATTATTCCCTTTTATATAATAATAGGTGTTACTCTATTGATTTCTATACACTGTAATGTCCTGCACGAAACCATCTATCAACGAAGTTGTTTTAATAAAATTTAAGACGTTAATGTATCATCATACAAGAAATTCAAATTAAAAGTAAACAGTAATTTATTTCGGTATTGTTTACCCTGTATGCAATTTTCAATAAGCACAACAAAGTGAATAGAAAATCGATTAACTGCTAGTTGTGACTTAGTCTGGCTAAATTTTTACAAGTATTTTCGTTAAATTAATACTAATCACCAATTTAAATCACCGAGAAAACGATTGATTACATTAACGAACGTTTTCAACCTGCTCCACAGACCATGATCAGGTTCAGAATTCTGGAACATTGACAAGCATTCATTACCGTAAAGAACATGTATTTAAAAATACAAAGACGTTTCATATACACATTTTGCATCATATGTATTTATTTTGAATTCATATAACGATATATTGGGACGTGTTTGTGATTTTACAAACTGTACATGTTTTATACGGTNAATTTTTTGATCAATCACAATATGTAAATAATGTGACATGTAACAGCGCTGAAATTAGCTAATCCATATTCATTTATACATTAATGCTAAGTCAAAATACAAAGACGTTTCATATACACATTTTGCATCATATGTATTTATTTTGAATTCATATAACGATATATTGGGACGTGTTTGTGATTTTACAAACTGTACATGTTTTATACGGTACGAAATGCTTCGATGTTCCAGAATTCTAAACATGATGATGATCTGTGGAGCAAGTTGAAAACATTTATAGATGTAATAAATAGTTTTCCCAGTTAATTAAACTACTATCAGTGTAAAGACAGCAAGAAAACAACTGTAACAAGGAGACTTATCATTCCAGTAGAGAGAATGACATCGTGTAAGGTAATTAGTTTTTGAAAATTTTTAAAGTAACGAAAAATGTAGCGNTTTTCTCACTACTAAGGAGTAACGATGAGGATGTAGTTGTTTTCTGCCCCCTTTGAGGCGCTTATTTTTAGTAAATCTCCTTGCCTCTTACTATCGTGGTGCTTGTTTTCGGTGAGTCACTCTAAGTTTTACCATTGTTTGAGATGTCGGTTTTGGGGGAAAATTTTATAACAAATGTTCAAAATGATGCCCTTTCACTTTAATGCATTTATTGAGCTGCGCTTACAATTATCATGTTTCAGATGACTTTCAGAGGTCAAATTTCTAGTACTCAAGGTCATGGAAGATTGTGAAATGTCTCATTGTTTCCATGTAAATGTAACTTTCACCTTCTTGCCTATTCCAGTAATAAAAAGTATGGTTTTTCATTAGAAAAAGCTTATAATTTTAACCTGAAAACAATCTTGACCTTTGACCTAAACAGTAAGGTCAAAGATACATTTGGTTGTGAAATTTTCTGCTCTTTCCATTTTTGGAGTCAAAAATATGTGTTCCCATAAAAAACAGACTTGACTCCAAGTGACCATGAAGGTCAAGGTCAAGGTCACATCTGAGGTTACCAATTGATTGGCCTCTCGATACCCTAGAACTTTTTCAAACTAATGAGATCCAATTAACTTACTCCAATGTCTCAAGATAACACTCTGTATATACATAACAGCCAGAAAAGTAAAACACGAAAAATATCTTATATATAATGTATTTATAAATAATTTGCATAAATATTTGTATTTATTACGCCATTATTTATTAAATCAATTACATATTATTAATAAACTGATGTGTAAATGAAGTTTAACGTATTATAAAAATAATCATAATCCTCTACTGCATTCAAATACTTTAATTGTAATAATTTTAATTTAGGAAAAAAATTAGAACGTTATTTCAATAAGCAAATAGTAGAATTGTATTTACAATTTAAATATAATAATGAAGTATAGGATTGCTCTCCATATATTCAGATTGCAAACAATGACATTAACACAAAACGTTATTTTGATGGCATAATAAATAATTGTTATAAGACTACGAACTACTGTATAGTAGTATAAAAGCATGCTATATTTGTTATTTTGAATTCTACATTGTTATAAGAATTCTATCATTATATATAATAACTTAGAATGGTTTTACCTACGACAATGAACGAAAATATTCTATTTGTATATCACTGACTATTGTAATATTGTTCGAAATTGAATACAATAGTTCGTATCAGAACGAAAAGTTTATTCTACTAATTCATAAATTTTTTAAGTCATGTATTCAATATTCAATCTCGAAATGCATTAAAAATAAACGACTGTCCCTGTTATAGTGAGTGTATGAGATATTTTTATCATATTTTGCTTTATTGTAGTAATGAAAAATGAATTATATCTACATAAAGACGCCACACGATTGCATGGATATAGGCTGAGCTTTGATGTTTTAAATTTGTTATTACTTTAACTCCAATTTTAAATTTCTAAAATTTATATTTCTTTAAAGTTAGAAATCAATTGTCGATAAATTTCAAACTCCTCTTTTAATATGATAATGTGTAAGTTTCCTGACAAGAGATAGAATTGTATGAGCCTCCCATTGTCGTGAAAATTTACTAATTTTTTTTTAATATTACTAATTATTAAAAAGACATAACGCTTAAGCTTAAGGGTAGAGATGAGTTTTATAAAAACGATTGTAAATGACAATAAAAATTGGAGTAATCTGACCATACTCGAAAAATGACACCTGATCCATTTTCACCTCTTCGACCTTTAACCACGAAGATGTAATAGCATCAATTCTATTCACAAATCATCCTGCGAAAATTTCGGAAATTTTCTGTAATACCACAAAATTTATTAAACTTTGATTTAGCGTGCAAAATCGTGCCACCCACACACATTCATTTACACAGTGAAAACCCAAACCTTTTCTATTTCTTGACATTACACGTTGCTGAGCCTAAAAGTGTACAATGTACGGTTATAATTTTTTGATCAATCACAATATGTAAATAATGTGACATGTAACAGCGCTGAAATTAGCTAATCCATATTCATTTATACATTAATGCTAAGTCAAGAATATTCTAACTTTAGGTTACTATTGAAAATAACTTTAAAATATTTATAAAAAATAGTAAATATTTCAATTACAGAACATAAATTTCTTTTGTTAGAATTTCTTACAATTGTGATTAGAAATTCGTTTTATTCTTCAAAACATAAACCAAAGCAATTCAAATATAAAAGTTGTTGGATGATTCTATATTTGAAGTAAGTGTATTTTCAAGGCAAATAGACATAAAAAAATTACTCACATTAGTAAATACCTAAAATAATAATTTTTAAAGACAGGTAAATAGTTGTCAATAGAAAAACAACAATATTACATTTATTTACATTCAATGTTCGATATATTCAATTTGTTATAACGAATTTAACGTAAATTTCGTCTATAATAGTGTTTGGTAATAAACAGGGCTGTGGAGTCAGAGTCGGAGTCGAAATCGGAGTCGTGGAGTTTTGGTGTTTCGGCCAGAGAGAGTCGGCGGAATTTTTGACGACTCCGACTCCCTTTTTACTTACCAACTTGTTATGTATATGAAACAGAGTCGGAGTCGGAGTCGGATGGTAAAGAAAAGTCGGAATCGGAGTCGGAGGTTCTTACGCGACTCAACAGCCCTGGTAATAAAACTCATTTTGCAAGTTTGCGTTTTTTTTTTCTTTTTCATTTGTAGGAAAAATGCAATTTTAATCAAAAAGAAATTGATGTCATATAAAGAAAGTAATTATTTTTCAAAAGTAATTTTACGAACGTAGCAGCAACAACAATCAACAGAACTTTAGTCACGCATATTACAATCATACAATTGATTTTGTTAGAAGTTTTTACGTTGCGTGTTATTCAGATATTTTCGTAATTAAAGTTATATAGTTGTAAAATAATATAAAACCTATATTACTTAATTAAACATTATGCTTATATTACATAAAATCTGACATTTCATCAGAGAGAAGTTAAAAATAATTTTCATTTCCTTCGATCAATGATGAAATATTTGATTCATGTATTATCTTACATTTTATAATAACAATCAAATAAGAAAAGTAATGAGAAAACATTAAGTTCGACTAGAAACATCTTCCAAACGTTCTTTTCAAAATACGAGATTGTTGAATGTAGCATGAAAAGGACAGTCTTCAGGCATACAAGACATTCGAAATAATGTTCCAGTATACACCAGCTTTTCTCAGTCTGTATATGCATATCTGTGAGTAGAATATAATATACTGCATGTGCAATTAATTAAATGCATGTACAGAAATCTTCTGTTAATAAAGCTATTAAATGACTGCATAATACAGTAATTCATAGACTAGTGTGGAAATACTCATTACATATTTTATATATTTGAACCAAATAACTGATTGTAGATTTACTACTCGGTTAGTAAATTTTCTGAGTCAATTAATAAATTAGTTTTAAAGTTTAAATTAAAATAAACAGTTCTGTTTATAATAAATTTCTAAATGAATTTTCGTATGACGATTAAAATATAAATTGCTTACTGTTGGAAAATATAACACATGTTAAATTCTAGAATACTGTAATATTAAATATTTTATTATTTTATTGATTTTAATTTTTGAATAGAAAAAAGTAATTACTTTTCACTGGAAAAATATAACGTCACGTAACGTATATTTATATTGAAACGCGATAGTTATACTTAAATTTCTTTTAGTGGAACATTCGTAGAAGATATGCCGTTTAGAGTAAGTAAATTATTAAATTCACTTCTTTTAACACCTAGCATTTTAAAACACGTTTGTAAATTTTAACGAAAATATCTCTAATTAAACACAATAGATATTATTACGTTCCCGGCTCTGTATTGTTATATATAAAAGAGGGAAATTATGGCAATTGGTCAAAAACTCACCCCCACTGAATTTTTACATTTTTGGACTAGGAAGACTTTAACATGACAAGAAATGCATAACGATATAAAAGATTTTTCAATGTGTATACATTTTAGTAAGCCAGTTTCTTTGAGGAGCACAATTTTGTTTCCCTCTTTGAAGCTTATAATTTCTATGCTTTTTGTTGAAAATTTCTGAAATTTTGCAGGATAGTTTGCTTATTAGGAGAATTGATGCTGTTAAATTTTTGTGGTTAACGATTGAGGAGTATAATAACAGGGGTCGTGTTTATCTCCAGTAAATTTGGACTTAAAGACAATGTTACTCATTATTAGGATTTACTATTTTTTATATAACCCACCCTACCGTTTAAATTAAGCTTTTTGCAATTAATAATAGTTACGTTATAAAACGTTTTTTAAATAAATATAACAAATGACATGCCACCAAATGTTACCGAGAAACTTTTTTTCAGTCAAACCTTATGTATGTATATATATATAAATATATACACATTCATAACTTGGGTAACCAAGGCGCCTAGATGATTTGCCTGGCATCATTAGACGTCGTTTGATTAAGTATCTCCAGGCCGATCAAACTTAATCAAACGAATAGATTTAATTTAATGCCTCTTAATTTAATGCCTTGATTTTAGTATTTTTGCATGTTCTTGCATTTTATTGAATTTCATATAGTGTATTATTATATAACGTTGTAATATTTAATTATCCTATGCATATATTTATATACATATTTTCTTCTTTATAAGAATAATTTTTATTTTATTTTTCTTTATGCATATATATATATACGCGTCATTCGTTATTTTTATTTGTATTTATTTATATTCGAATATCTCAGCCTGATGATGGCCAACAGATTTGGCTGAAAACGTTTGCTTTTTCATTAAATTT